AAGCAGTTATTGGCCCTCGAATTGAGCATCCCGTTCCAGAACAACCCGAAATCATCTCTGCAACATCTAGTAAACTGCAGTTTCCGAAGGCCAGCGGAGGTGGAGTGATGGTAAAAATTTCTCGCTCTACGAGAGACATCAAGCCTGAGGATTACGAAACTGAAACTGCCACCGTAGAAAATACGGGCTTTGAATACGAAGAACAGGATCCTGTGGACGAAATACCCCAAGGTAAGTAGTAAAAATCGATCTGTCAATCAGAGGCAACTCGGAACAAGTTAACTGAAATCTCAGGCTTCAACTGCTTGAAACAATATCTTACAATATCACATGCTTTTCCAAAGCCCATGAATCCGTGCGACTGATAAAGAGCCGTAACAACCGCCTTCACAGTGCATTAGAGTAGTGAGTAAATTCATTTCACCCACTTTTAACAGAGGCAAAAACCATCTATATACCCATAATGTAAACATAAAGAGGTAGCCAAAATGGAAGTAAAAGAAAGGGATGCAAAAAGTAAGCTTGCAGCAGGCGTCGAGAATAGCGTTTTTGAGGCTCGTTTGCACTTCAGCTGAGTAACCGATTTTGGAGTTACCCTTAGCTCGCATTTGAATGTACATCGCCTTAATTATTCTGCAGTATATTTCAGCATTAGTTAGATCTCTGGCTTACAGATGCTGCTCAGTTCAAAAGTTTCATGATCTGCAAGCCAATCTTGAAAAGTTATTGAGAGAAGCCTGACTACTTGATAGGCTGTTGTCAGCAACAGTGTGATCCTTATGTGGAGTGTACAGTTGTGTGGAATCGTGCGTTTATCAGAGTTTATCATCTCTGCACATCTTCGGTCATTGCACGTCGTGAACACCTCTTGTCCCACATATGGAACTACGGATTTGACTTACCTGTCAGACACATATTAGTTATCTGCTCTACACTGGAACTTGTACTTGCACTAGACAAGGAGGGAAACAGGTGGCTTTTCCTCCTGTTCTAATTAGCTTCTAGATCGGTTTCTAGCTGCTGAATATCTTCAAGTAGCTTCAAGGATAGATAGTCCCTGAGTACTTGTGAGAAACTGCGCGGTATCCTAAAAACCAAACTCATGCCAACCCGGCTACCATAATCACGAAGTCTTAGCCATACCGGACAGAAATGATCATATTCGTATTCACATTCGATTACGCTTTATTGTCGCAATTAGCAAAAGTACTGTTTTTCTTTGATAGAATTTTTTGCCAGATAATTTTACACGTGACTTACCTCTGCCTTCTATTGCCGGCTTTTGATTGAGTAGTGTGCCTAATTTGTTTGTTTCAGCCTCTGAAGAAGAACTGAAAGCTGCATTTGAAAGCCGCACAAATTTCAACCAAACGGGTTGCATACCTGAACGTCGAACGTTGTGCACCTCAAGTCTACTAGGTCTGAGACCAGAGCAGTCACCAAACATTGTTCCCCCTGGTTTCCACGTTCAGCGGTGTGGAGATTCGGTAGAGCATACTACCTGTCCAACGCTTCTGAGCCACGATGAAGAATATCCCACAAATCTATTCTCCCAGTATCAAGACAAAATAGATGTGTGTGAGAATTTATGGGATCGAAGGCATCCGTCGTGTTATTGCTTAAGCCCAGATCAAGAGTGCCTGCCAACAAAAGTGACGACAAAAATGCAGCCTGTTGGATACCCCACAGTAAGTGCCACGACATGCTCCATTATTTTTTTGTGTGTCAGAGAATGCCAGAATCAGCTCGTTCACAAGCTCGAAAATTCCGGACTAAAACAAACGTTGGTCACTATCGCAATTATTGGCTAAAATGCAAAGCTCCGAGGAGGATTTTCTCTTCCACTTAAGTAGTTTTTTCCTTCTCAGAGGACTGCCCTATAAGGTTTATCCGCCTGCTGTCTGAGATCATCAGCGGTAAATGTTCGCACTTCACTAGTAGACAGTTTTCAATTCCTCAAGGTGCGTATCTAATCTTATATAGAAAAATGAATTGCAAATGTCATAATCCCTTTCACTTTTACATGACGGATTGAAAAAGCGCGTGCCTAGACATGCAAACAAAAAAAAGGAATTTAAAGTTCAGAATACACCGACGTAGGTGGTAGCATCGTAGTCTAGCATATTTGGATAGAACGAGAAGCTGAGTATCTGCTGGCCGACATCTCCGTTTACGTCATGTTTATGCCGTGAGTGGCGACTGGTGTGTTTGTTTGATTAGTTGTTGTTCGGTTGATGATACATTTGGTTGTAAATAGCTATGATCTGATTTACCGACTGGGATCGTATCGACAGTGACCCTGAAAGCGTTCCTGGGCACAATCAAATCTGTTCACCCACCGTGGTGTGAATCCAGCACTTCTCGTTTAAGGGGGTTTCGTATAAGCTTCCTTACAGGAGGTCACTATGAATTCAATGAGAAAGAAGCTCTGCAAAAAGACGGGGTAGACAATATTGCATTGTAGATTTGTCTTCTAAATAAGCGTAGTTTACCCTGAGACCGAAGGCTGTGATGCACTCGTCCTTTGTCAGACATTTAGTTTATATTTTGTAGCCTACTGAACTTTTCATTCGTATGTAGTGACTTATATTGAAGTCCACTATACTCATGCACCGAAACAGTCAACCAAATTGTTGTTACATTCTGTCAAAAGTCGACTTCCGGAATGACGAGCATGGAATTGAAACATATGAACGAATGCGGAATAAAGGACCACCTATGGTGAAAAGGGGCTGTTACAATCGAAAATTGAACATAAGAATAGCAAGTGATTCCAATTTTATTTGTCCCAGGTTCCTGCTGAATGGTGCTCGATCANTCATCACTTAGTGGCATAAATGTCCTCGGGCAAGAAGGAACCGTTTAGCGCCCGTGTGAGTAAGATCCAGAATCCTATCAGTTGAAAAAGCTTGAGATTAAAAACGAAGATCTATTATCGCTAATTTCGTGCAATTTGGTTTTGAGTAGAACAAGGTTGGCGGAAACCCGAGGACTGTGTCTATCTGATAAGCCCCAAAAAGGGCGAAACCGATCGTCAGCTGTCGACGGATTCTCAGCAACCTTGTGAGTAGTTCATTACAGAGATATACATGTATCGCGATATCTCGAATATCGTAGCGACTGAAACATGAGGTGGCCTGGTGCAGCACATTCAGTTGCCTGGATGCATCACAAACGAGAGATTCAGCTGGATTCCAGGCGAGTCTCTCGGAAAAACCAAATTAGTTTGCAAATGAGTGTATATTCACTAAGATCCAGTGTCCTTTCAGCTTAACCTTCTAGAAAGTAAATGTACCTTTTTAACGTAGGAATTTGAGATACTTTTTTAGTGCGCAAAGATTTTAGGTGCATATTTTTGAAGTGAAGATTCGCGCTCCAGAAAATTTATTTTATCCCATGGAGAGCAATACTATACACAAATACTGAAGATAAAACAAATGACTATGGTGTAAAAATTGTAGAGGCTTACCCCACCCTATTGTCAAATAAGGCATCTAAGGGAAACTAACCTGTATTATAAACGATGAACTGAAACTTTGTTCAGAAGGCACAAAGGAGATGATTTTGTAGGAACTAAGAAGACCCTTGAAGCTCCAAATGTGAGTTCGTGCCTGATAGTAGAGTCAGTCTACTTTGGGGAAGCCCTGATATGCACCCCTTGCGTCATCCATTGTTCTCGATAACCAATAGCACAAGCTTTTGACATCGGCCAAACTGACTTACAGCAGGAAATGCACACTAAAAGCTACAGGATTTAAATACTCAGATGAGAAGGTGAAATCAAACTACATGATACCTGAGCTCTCATCCTTAGAAATTATCGACGAGTTTAGTCAATACCACGTCACGTCATAACTGAAGTACAGTTGTGTTCCATTTTATTGAAGCGTGAGTTATGCTGCCACTCACGGGGAGCTGTGTTACAGTATTCAACTATTGATCCAGATTTCTTGGACTCAGATCTCGAACAGTTTCACGAGGTGTGTTCCGCCTCGGTAAAACGGGCCACAGCGCCCATAATTCTAAGATCTGCTCCACCAAGGGGCAGTGGTTATGTCAATTTTAGCGGTAATGAGACGTTTGCAATCGACTCACCTAGTTCAGTAAACTAAACAACAACCGTTTATGGTACCTGAGCTACAACACTTGTCTCAATAGCAAATCTGTGCATCACATAATCTCCCAGCAGAGTATCTGCGGTTAAATCCAGATATATCTGGATCATTTTGTGACCTATTTCTTTACACTAAACAAAACACCATCTATTTATTCAAACCTTTCAGCGTCAGGGCTACTGGTCCACAGACCTCATTGTTGTGACGGAACATCTAGCTTGTTCATGTCAGCCCCGGTAAGTATCATCATTATTGCCAAATCGAAAAACATACCTTATTACCACAATAACAAATTCGGTATTTGTATTGTTTACATGTTGGCCGGAAGAAATCAATAGAACTTAGTTTGTCTTGTACTCTTCCTAGAAGGCTATCTAGCTATTAGCCACATTTCGCGTCGTGATAGTTGGTTTAACTGGGTGATTGCCCACCGACAGGCCTCTTTGTGGGTTAGAAAGGATTTCTTTCTTTATTTGCTGAGGCACTGCTGTCATACCCAGTTTGACCTGTTCAGAGTAATAGTTTCTTTGTGAGCTTGCGAATCCCAAATCTCATAGCCTTCTAATCGAGCGTTATACCACAGACATTGGTCCAAACTTCTTTTAGAGCACCCGAGAGCTGATTCACTGTCAGTAACCGGTGGTGATGAAAATATCCCTTCCATGCAGAGATTCTTTGACCATGGACCAAACCGGTTAGGGCAGCTGGAATGTTAAACACACTGTTTGGGTGTGTTTAACTGAACCTTGTCACGGCACCGTCAAGTACACTCGATGCCTGAACGAAGTGGTCTGGTACTTAAGCACAGCCAAGTACCAGCATATGGAAGACTAGTCTGTCGGTGCGCATACGCCAACGGATCGTTGGCGTGTGTAGTGAAAAACTTGGTGGAAATCTGTTCTGAAGCTCTCAAGCAGATGATTGATGCGAGGTTGCTTGTACACAACCCGTGTACCTCAGCTGAGAGTGAACCAAGACGAAATTCATCTGGTACTCACTTTACAATATACCAGCCGTTTCTTATGTGAACAGTCCCATCATTTTTGTTACACTGCATTCCATTAAAGTGAAAGCGAATCGGAATTGTTTTCTGAGAAATCCGAGCAGTTAACTTTTAGTGGAAGTGTAACAAATGTTTTCGACTGTTGATTCGATGTTGTGACAAAATCCCCCCAGAATGCACTAGAACTCAACGTATTCAAAATTTTCAATGTAAGCTGTTCTCCATTTTCAATTTAATGGGAGTAATCCCTTGAATAACCTGTACAATTACGTTGCTGACAAATTTATTCACACTTTTTCTCAGATGTCATAATCGCATATGTGTTGCGCCACTCAAATTGCGGATGAGCACGACATCCCACTGCTCATGTGTGTGCGAACCAAACGATACGCGCTGTCAAAAGTTGTTAGAAGGCGAGGAACAGTTTCAACCTGATGAGTAAGTTTTTTTCGTAAATCGGACAGCTTCATTGTGAGCATACCTAGGCGGATGCAGTCATTTAAAAAACATTTGCAGAGTTCTTTTCGAGACAATCTGGACAGCGGTGTAAATAACTTCACGAAAAACGCGAGATAAATAAATCAGCACACGCGGTGGTCTGTCTTCCAGTAACATCCTTTCAGTGGATAGAGTCCCTGAGAAAGCACGAGGGCTGAGATACTGCCAGGTTGTCTGAACCTCAACAGGGGCACAGGTTGGGTCCGAACCAAGAACCTTCCGGTCAGTGAGCTCGTGATTTGATCATCGAGATATTTTTCTGCATAGAACTTCATTTAAAATGCATCATCCCGCAAACAGTGCAACTTCTGGCTTACTATTTAGAGCTTCTTCTCTAAAGATAAATACTTCTGAGAAGAGATCCTTTAGACCCTCTCTAGTGGGCAATATTTGTAGCTATTCCACAGTTATTTAGCTACGATTTGCTGGGTTAGGTCCTGATGTGTTAAGTTGCAAGTAATGGCTTATTCAGCTGTAATACGCATGCATATTTTTTGTGGTTTTAGGCTTCCAGTTCCATTGTCGGGTTCCTTCATTCTCCCCCCTTGTCGATTTGGCTCAATGGATGAGTATCATTTGTTCTACCGAAGATGTCCTCGAAGATTATCCACTCTACTTGAAGGGGAACGCCTAGGTTAATCTGTAGTCTACACTATGCACCAAAGAACACTGAGGAAAATCGACGCTCCGTTGATGAAAACACTTTCATACTCTTATTATTCAAACTGTGTTGCGATTTCCACCTGATATTTTTGTACATTTTTTCAATTTTGTTTTTCTTTTTTTCCAATCGCATTTATTGCTTTCGATTGGAGACAGTTGACTTGTTCCCAGAGGATGATGTCTTTATCTTTTTGATGGGAGGCCGTTACCCCTTCTTTCCAACCCGTTTACTACCCGGTTGCCAGAGTTATTGTTAGGAGGGCATTATGTATATAGTCGCACGAGAATACAGTGAGTAGAATGGACTTTGGTGTTGATTTATGCATCAGGGGAAACTTTTTGACTAATGTACATAAAAACGGAAGTTGCAAAACAACCTGCATATGCATTACACGCTATTCGCCATGAAGCTAATGATAAATCAGAAAAATAATTACGTGCATTTAAGGGGCTTTTGTATTGATGAGTGATATCAGTGAATTGGTGGTTATTGAGAAACCCGTCTTTTCTTCATTCCAAAGTCGGTTGACGGCTCACAACAGACCTTTCCGTGTCTCCACATCGATCCCATTCCTACGGGTTTACGTCGGCTTTGCTGATTTACACGTAGCAACAAATCTGTCTAGATACGAAGCCCTTTTGTCCGTTTAGTTATACGTGTGCACTCAGTTGCCCGTGAACTTCTAGTGGGCAACAGCAACACGCAAACATATGCAAAACACGTTGATAAGACTCGAGGGAAAACATACAGTGATTTTAGACAAAAACCCTCAACCAGTTCACCTCAATGGGTGCATATTCCACCATATCTGAGTTTCATCGGTTTGGTCGGCATTGATTTTTCTGAAAAATGGATAATTTTTTACCTTTCAAAAGTCTATGAACATTTACAACATTCTCCTGTGAGGTGGTAACGTAATATGACGCACGAGTCATCGAACGTAGCAGTATCATTTTGCGACAACAAAGTTTTTTATTGGAGGAAGCGGCGATGTCCGAGACAAAAGTGAACGCAGGCAGATTCAAGCACATGAGAAATTGAAATAACTGTCTGGTTTAAGTCGTCCAAAGACATGCCAGGTATACAAAGGCACACGGTTGCACATCTCAGTTCAGTTTTCTATTCTGCGTGCTAATGCATTTGACAAATGTTCCTAAGATGACTAAAAAATTACAACCGATCTCTCCGAAGCTCTACAAAACGCCATAATGATCATAAGGAAAGACGGCTGTATCAATCGCCATGACTATAATTACTGTACCAAATTGGTTTGCAGATGAGTGTATATTCGCTAATTTTGTGCAATTTGGTTTCAAGTAGAACATAAGGTTGACGGAAACCCGGGGACTGCGCCTACCTGATGAGCCCCAAGAAGGGCGAAACCAGTCGTGGGCTGTCGATGGATTTTCAGCAACCTTACGAGTAGCACATTACAAATATATACATGTATCGCGATATTTCAAGTATCGTAGCGACTGAAACATGAGGTGGCCTGGTGCAGCACATTTAGTTGCCTGAGAACATCATAAACGAGAGATTCAGCTGGGTTCCAGGTGAGTCTCTCAAAAGAACCAAATTAGTTTGCAGATGAGTTTATATACACTAAGTTTTATAATGTTCAGTGAAAAAATGAAAACAATGAATATGTGATCACCAACGTTTCCACTGTATGAGTCTGTCGTCTATCCACCGGTAACATCACACTCCGAATTTTTCCAATAGATTCTGAACAGGAGATGGACTTGAAATGATTGGCTTACGTTCAAAACTAGTCTAACAACCTAAACTGTTCAAGCCACTGGATTTCTGCACACAGCGGACAAGCCACAAGTAGTTTGGGCAGTTTCATTTGTGGCGCCGCGTAAAAGCTAATGATTTCAAATTGAAAACATCATAAACGAGAGGTTTAATTGCGCTTCCGTCAAAACCAAATTGATATGTAAATGAATACATTTCACTGATGGAAAGAAAGCAGAGGTTCGCCGAGACACACCGGTCAGCCTAAGCACGATGGTGTAAAAGCAGGTTCCAGCATTGGGTCTTGCACATCAAGACGGTGGCGTCACAGTCAGTTTCACTTTGATGTTTCCCATGCACATTAAGCAGTTTAATTAAGTATGACAAGGTTCAAAGAAGACTGGATGCCACTCAAAGCGATTCTGACTTAGATGAATTCAAGAAAAAGCTTAATCGTTTGGCACCACTCACAGACCCTAACAGGGGTACATCGCCTCGGAAAATACTTTGGATATCAGCCAGACGGCATTGTTGGACTCCTTTTACACTGAATGAAGAGGAGTATGATGAACGAGAGCTTAACCAGAGTTAAGGTTCATTAGCCGCTTAGTTTACTGACCCGAGCCTAACTCCATGAAGTCGGAGTGATCAGTACATTCGTGATGTCTAGTTTAGTCGTTATTGCCCTGTCGGTTCAGATGGCTAAGCGACATTTTGTGGCTCTGAAACAGCGACATCATTGAGTTTTTCCAAAAAATGTTTGATAACTTTCGACAAATACACTCATTTGTAACTCAGTTTGGTTTTCAGCAACCTTGTGAGTAGTTTCCTTCATGAAAATATACTGCGTGCCAACTGAATCATCAGGCGGCCTGTGTGCTGCACATTCAGTTGTAGAATATCATAAACGAGGGATTCAGTTGAGTATCTCGTTATAACCAAACATCGAATGAGTGTATTTCTCGAAAACAGTCCAATTTGGGTTTAGGTAGAATATAAGATTGACGGAAACTCGGAACTGCACCTACCTGATGAGCCTGAAGCGGAAGGGCGAAACCGGTCGTGGGCTGCCGAAGAGTTTTCAGCAACCTTGTGAGTAGTTTGATAACTTCATTTATTCAGGTATACAACCTTTCAAAGCGGCTATCAAAACACAATCAGTGATATTTTCTATAGAGGAAAATATCGATAGCTCAGGTAGCGTACATGGTCGTTGGCTTGCTCGCTGAGCTGCGCAGTTTGATTGCAAACGTTTAATCACCAATCGAGGTGACATAATCAGTGTGTTATTGGGGAACCTAGTGGTGCGTAGCGGTGGATTAGTGATTGTGCGTTGAGTAGTGTTGCGTGTATGTTGATATACGTGTTGCCAGCCGGGGGTGACCTTTGATTGCGATTAGTTTTTCGGTCGGGCGGTCCCATTGATTGCCCCGTTATCCTGTGTCTACATCCGCCGATCCTCACGTGACCTTTGAGCCTGGCGTCCCCGGTCGTCGTAATCTGATCGATAGATAGATGGTAGGTTTCATGAAGAGCCATAGGACTTCAGTTTACTTGGATATGACGAACTATTTTGTAAGGCGCGAGAATATTAACAAGGAAAAAAGCGTTTCTCCGGGATGCAAATAACTTAGCATTTTCAAGGACATAGAATAAAGTCTAAAATTGTTGAAAGAACCTCAAAACCCCTCAAAGTAGAAGTTCGTTTGGATAATGTGTTAATTTGGACGACTGCCGGCGGACTGAGCCCCATTTGCCTCTAAAAAGAGTACTAATCTTTAATGCAGAGAAAAAAAGGTGAATCACTCCACTGGATCATACTGACATGACAGATGTACTCATGAGTACCAGCCTATTCCATTATCCTGTTCCCTTTTTTGCAAGGTGTGTCCGGCTGATAATGGTCAACACGGACAGGACAACAATGCAGAATGGATCAAAGTGCTTTGCGTGAATAGCTTCAAGGCTTCAGATAAAAAGCTGTTGAACAACTGCTTCGGACGGCGTTAGATCCAATACTAATTGATGTATGATAAACAACGTGTTTAAAGCACTGCATTCCATTATCCTGTTCCCTTTTTTGCAAGGTGTGTCCGGCTGATAATGGCCAACGCGGACAGGACAACAATGCAGAATGGATTAAAGTGCTTTGCGTGAACAGCTTCAAGATTTCAGATAAAAAACTTTTGAACAACTGCTTTGGACGGCGTATGATAAACAACGTGTTTAAAGCACTGCAGAACACTGCCCAGTTCCTGACACCGCTAGCCAAAGACACAAACTGGCTAAAGTCACCGAGATTTGCATGAATGACCAAAAGTGCACACCTGTTTTGTTACGGAGTTTCCAAATTGACCGGATGAGAATCTAGTGAAAACTGAATTGGGAACACTAGCATTTGCAACTCCAACCCAATGATTTTCTTTACTAGTTATAAAATATTTGCTCGTTAAACTGAAGAGGCTGGATTATATACACTATCAAAAGGTTAACCACTTGTATATGTTATTCTCCTACTGAATGTTCGGTATAGAGGCTGTTTAAACAGATAAAAAGGTTTTCGAGAAATACACTCATTTGCGAATCAATTTGGTTTTCACGAGACACTCAACTGAATCTCTCGTTAGGATATCCTACAACTGAATGTGCTGCACACAGACCGCCTCATGTTTCAGTTGGCATGATATTCGACATATCGCAGTATATTTTCATGAAGGAAACTACAGACAAGGTTGTCGAAGAGTTTTCAGCAACCTTGCGAGTTGTCTCCTTTATAAAGATGAAAGGTTTGTTCTATGTCTGTAACTAAGTACTGGTTAGGCTACGTTTGGCGCTAATTATTTACACATAATGTGTGAATCCATCTACCTTACGAGGCATGCGAGAGTATGGAGAGAGCCTTAAGAAAGCTGCCGTACACAAAGTGCCGTCAGGGGTGTCCACTCTCTCCATTCCTGTTAACTTTCGCGGTCGACAGGATAATGAGGCCAACGCTAGAAGATCTTCCAAACCCTGAGACGTTTTCAGGTGTTTGACAACTGCTGTTTCGGACTATAGCTGATGTGGGCTGGTGTGCACGAATCCGTAACGAAGCAATCAGAAAGCGATTGTTCGTTTGTATAACAGGGACTTCCATTGAAGAATGTTTCCAGCACCAGAAACTGCTTTGGTTAGGCCATGTATTGAGCATAACGATCTATCATTTGCCGTAGAGAGTACTGTTTACCGTGCCCAATTCAGTGTGGGGGAGGCAGAGAGTTGATCAACCTCAAATCTGGAAGATGGGTATGAACGATATTACAAAAGTCCCTGGTGCCCTCTGCACGACTCACCGTGCAGAACGAGGACCGTGGGATTCTCGCTGCATCTAATGAGTGACCCTAATCGATGTCAATGATGCTCTTATTATCAGTTTCTGTCCAGATCGCCTGAATGAATGTTTATGGTTTTCGGCACCTCGTAATGACTGAAGTGAGTA